GTAGTAGAGTAGTAGTAGGTAAGGTAGGTAGGTAGTACGGTAGTAGTAGTACGTAGTAGTAGTAGTAGTAGAGAGTAGAGAGAGAGAGAGAGAGAGAGAGAGAGAGAGAGAGGTAGAGAAGATGGGGGTGAGTGGTGTGGACGTGGTGAGCGAGTTGGAGCTTCTTCTGAATTACAGGTTCCTCAACCGTCAGCTCCTTGAGGATGCCCTCATCCACTCTTCCATTGGAGGGCCAACGTCGTACGAGAGACTGGAGTTCGTGGGTGATGCTGCCATTACACTAGCATTTACCAACCATGTCTACATGACCTACCCCACTCTGCCCCCTGGCGATCTCAGCCTCCTGCGTGCCGCCAATATTAGCACCGAGAAGCTCGCCAGGGTCGCCGTTAAGCACGGTTTCTACAACTATCTCCTCCGCGATGCTCCCAACCTCGATGTGAAGGTACTGATATTCTCTCTGTAGAATTTGTTGGTCCTTTTTCTTGCATGTTCCTTTTGTATCTCTCTAGTGTTGTGCCCTTTCTCTTCATAGTGCATTACCTCCTATTTTGTGTTTCTCTTTATGTTTCTCTCTCCAGAGTTGACCCCTATTCTTTTGAAATTTATTTCAAGTATTTCCTCTTCATGTTTTTCTCTCTTTCACTCTCTAATGGATGTTGTTTTTGTGTCTAGAATTGCGCCCATCTCTTTGTGTTTCTCTTTCTGGCATGGCCCCCTTTGTTGGGTATTTCTTTCTTGGAGGGCATCTCTTTTCAACTGTCCTTTTTCTCTCTCTAGAATTGCCTTTAGATGCCTGGCTCTTTGTTCTCATCGTGTTTCTCTCAACAATGGCCTATGGGCTGGTCCTGTTCTCTCACTATAGAATAGCCCTGTTTTGTTTTTCTCTTATTTAACTTGTGAATTTGCAGGTCTCAGAATTCATTGAAGCCATTAACAAGAGCCCTGATGAGGTCGATTGGCTAATGAAAGCCCCTAAAGTGCTTGCTGATGTGGTGGAATCCATTGCTGGTGCTGTGTTTGTAGATTCTGATTACAACCTTCAGATGCTTTGGAATGTAATAGCTCTCTCTCTAGAAACTTTGTTATATCTGCCTAACTGTTTTATGCAGTAGTATTGTGACGTCCATGCCTTTGGAATGTAATAGCCATTCATTTTAACCATTTGCTTCATACATGTACAAATTAAGGCTTTTGCTCGGCTCTATGTTATGCTTCATACATGTACAATTTAAGGTTTTTGCTTGGCTCTATGTTACCCACTTCTCATGAGAAGAATAATGGTACTTGTCTTATGCTTTCTTCTTGATATATCAATTGCATTTTAAGGGTCTCATTGAAGTCTTTAAGTTATCCACTTCTAGTTAAAGAAATAAAATGTTATCTTCTTTGTCCTTTTTGATATGTGATAGCCATTGCTTTGAATTTACTAGCCTAAGTCTTTTTCTCTCGACATATTTATTCATTATAAGGTTTGCTGGAGCCTTGATTTATTCATTTCTTCTTAAGGGAAGAAAAATGGTATCTGTTTTTTTTTTTCTTCTGGATATGATTAGCCAATTTCATGGATGTATATGACGGCCATTTTAGGATGTGTTATTGCATTTTAAGGATCTTTTGAACTCTGATGAACTCAAACTCAGTCTCCTCTAATGAGATGATATAAATTTATGCCTATTGGTTTCATGCAAATTTCTCATAGAGTGCTTTATCCAGGTTTTCCGCAAGTTTTTTGAGCCCATCATCAACCCAGTGACCCTTAAAAACCATCCACTCACTGAGCTTCAAGAGCGTTGTCAAAAGAAAGGGGAGCAGTTAGAATTCTCGCACAAGAATAAGGGGAATTTGAATGTATTTCATGTGTTGGTTGATGGGAAATTCATGGGGAAGGGAAGCAATGAGGTAAAGGAAGTGGCCAAATTGTGTGCTGTGAAGGATGCACTCGCAAATTATATGAAGATCGAAGAGGAATCATCTCCTGATACCACTTTGATGGGTACTGAAAATGATCCCAAGTTGGAAAAAGACTTTGATGAAGATGGAGGCAGGATGCCTCTAGATAATGTTGTGAAGAGAGAACCTACGAGCCCTATGATTGACGATGTTAGGGAGAGAAAGGTGGCGAGACTCATGATTAATAATGTTAAGGAAGAGAGAAAATTGTTGATACCCGTGAGTAAAGGTGGCACAGAGAAAGAATCATGGAAGCACATTCTACAAGTCTATTGCTGCAGGAAGCGCTTGGGCAAACCTACTTATGAGTATGATCCTCTCACTCAGTTCTTTTTTTATATTGTGGTTTTTTGGCATGGACTTGAGGGTTTTGTAATTTGTGAGTTGCATGCTTTTCTACCTTCTTTTGAATGTTACCATAATTATTGCATGTCAAAAACTATGTGAATGTTAATTTCTTTAGTGAGAATTCATGTATGGTTAGAATGCCGGTTATTTACCTTCCATTTCAATGCCTTGTTGCTCTTAAAGAAATGATGGTTTATTTGATTGGTGAAAGTTGATATATTTGCACTATGTATTATACTTCTCAAATTGAGGTTATGATACAGGGATTTGCAGTGCTCTCAACGGCATTTTTTTTTAGTATAAATTAAATTTTGGGCATTGAAACTATTGAGTTTTACTGGAACTTGGAAAACGATTACGTAGTTGCAATATATGGTTTCTTATGATGTCCACAACCCCTATTATTTTCATGGGCTGCTTACCTAAGGCTTCACTAGGAAATCTGAAAGTAATGTTTGATGAAATCTATGGTTATGCAACTGAAATGCACTATGGTGAGACCCAAAAAGATAGATAGTTGATATCCGTTACAGCCAAGTATGGCATGACACTTGCAGACATTGCCTTCCAATTGTAAGGCCTTTTTAAGTACATAAGGCCGTTGGTTGCGTATTAGAATATTGTATCATTTTATGCATTTTGATAGTTGAAAGGTTATATAGTCTAGTCTAGTATATGCAATTTGATGCTGTCTCCATATTATTTGACGCCCTTTCTGAAAAATGTGTAGTATTCCTATGTGTTAGAGTCAATGTAATGGCTCATATTGCCCAGATTACAATCTATAGATCGTTGTTTAAATAACTTGCCTGTAATGCGCAGTTCTAGGATGTGCTTTTCCTGTGTTTTAGTTGGCCTAGGCTTAAGGGAGTTTCTATGGTTTAGTAGGTCCCTCCATTCAGAGATTGTTAGAAGACCTGTTTTGGTGTGATTTAAGCTGCCCAAGAGTATAGTTGGTACTACCATTAGTTCTTTTAAGGAATTTTCATTCACATGGTTATCATATACTTCTGCTAATCCTATTTTATGAACTTCACATATTGGTGCTATGCCAATATGTATCGGTTCTTTTTCATCAAAGATGAAATTTGATAGTTTTTATTTTAGTGATCTTTGCGAATGTTTGTGATGGTGTCTTTGTATATTTCTTGAAATTGAAACAGTTCAAAGCAATCTTAGCATGCGTGAGTCAATTTGGGAAATATAATGAAGTTAATAGTCTTCTAGATAATTACATGGATCCCTGACTTGCTCTGCCTTTCCTTATTCCTTAATAAGCTTCAATCATGTTTGCCATGAGGTCAATTTCATTTTCTGGTTGATTTTTTTGCATTACAATTTTTTGCGAAATCAATATGTTACTGATTCTGCCTATGTACGGCAATGAATCGGATTAGATTAGAGATCTTATAGTCCTATTGACCTTGTCTGGTCATGAGTTTATGGTGGACTCCTTGCCTGTATTGGCATCCCCACTTTCATGCATTTGTTTGTGCACATGAGAAGTTTATACATAAGAATGATTTCTGAATGACATAGCCTTACAAGAAATGCTGAAGAACATGTTGATTAGCGATTGGATCAATGGTTAAGTTATTCCAATTCTTATGGAGACTCTGGATTGATTTGCACTTCTTGTAATCCGGTTATTGGTGGGATTCTTTTTTTCCTTCTGGAAACCAATGCTGAAATTCTGAAAAACATAAGTAGTTTTTTTTTCTTCCTGATAAAAGGTACCCAGGCTATACAAAAAGAAAAAAGACAAGGAAGTACGCTGGAGTACATTATTGGTTGATCTGAGTAAACAAGCATGGAAGTAGGCAGCCAAAATTTCAGCATTTGTAGCCTGAAAGAGGAAATGAATTCCCCTCCATTTGTAGTTTTTGAAGATACCATGTGCTGCTGACCAAGAAGCATGAGAAGTTTTAGTAGTAGATGTTGAATTTATTTAAAGGAATATATATGATGAGGCTTCAAGCCTGCTTCATTGTCTTGGGGAACTAGAACTTGGGATACTTTGTCAGTGAAGGCTTTGATGATGATTGGCAGATACTTGCATCTTCTCAAAACCATGTTCCAGAGGATTGCAACATGAAACAATTTGATACTCGATGTGAAGAAGTCATAACAACCTTTAGACCAAAAAAAAAAAGAGAAAACATTTTGATACTGATAATGATCATAATCATTGAAGTCGTATCCCAATGATTTGTGGTCGGTTTTTGATACTGATAATGAGATTTAAAGAGATATTGCTGGCGCTTCTCCTCATCAGAAACTAAGGTTATGAGATGTCAAAAGGACTTTGTGGTAATCGACAGCAGTCATAGTCAATGAAAAGTTGAAGACATACTATTCCAATTGTGACAGAAAATGATACTGCTTTTACGGAAGATATGTGAATGGTACTGCTTTTATGGAACATATGTGCCTGACTTGTTGGAATAAGGCTCTGATGATGATGATGTGCATGACCAGAAGATATGTTATGACATTAATGGGATCAGATTCTCCATTAGCCTAGAACACTCTTGGGGAACTGGATTATTAACTTGACCGTTGCAACAACATTAATTTCCTTGGTCTTGCCTTCAGGACTGAAGCAAGATTCTTCTTGACCCGAACATCGTGCTTCATCCTCTTAGTTTTGATTGCTGTTCCTTCCCTTTGTTCTAATATGAATGAAATTTCAACTTGATCTCTTGAATGGTTGTCTTATGATATGTCGAAGGTGCTTCTCCAACACATCGATGTCTGATTTGAGCTCATACAGTTCTTCTGTTCCTTAATTACTTCGGGATATATATGAGTCACATTAGGTATATTCACTTGATTCAAATTTTTCTTTCTGAGAAGTATCCTGGACATTTTCTACTTTGTGTTGATCAATTTTTAACTGCAAATAATATAAAAACTGGTCGATGCTTCATTATCTTCATGGAAATTTGGGAAGTGTTACAAAATATATTGAGGGTTTTGCCACCTCTGATTTTTTGGCTGTACCTCTGCTTATCAATATTGTACCCATGCCTCTACTAGTGTCACATCCATGCCTGTAACAACTTCTATGATTGTATTATGTTAATTTTTTTTGTCCTTCTATTTGTTGTGATCTTGTAAAACACTTATCATATTATTTATCGTTTAAGGGAGTACAAGATGTCAGTCCAACACCATGATCTCAAAGTAGAGCCATGGTGCCATTTAGTCTCAATACAAGTAGTAAATGATTGTATCATCCTTTTTAGTCCATTCCATTTATGTCTGCTTGGTGAATGAAACTAGATTATTTTCTTCTATCTTTCCTTTCTTAACTTTTTATTGAATAAATTCCATCTTTGATTAATTGTGTTCAAGACCTAAATATTCATATAACTCGCCTTTTTAGAGTTTTATCTTGAAAGTTGAAAGACAAACATCAATATAAACTTGTTTGATTATCTTATCAAATTTACACTCCAGAAGCAAGAATAGTATATGGGCGCATGTTCTATATAACCTTGTGGAAGTATCACAGAGAAGTATAAATATAATGGGAAAGCTTTCTATACTTCCCCTACTGTATAAGAGTTATATACTTCCCCTTATCCAGCCGTCTGATCTGAAATGGATGGCTAAGATGGACCCAATCACAATGTCACACCTCTATACTATTTTATTTTTAATGGTTTTTTTACACAACATTTTGACACCAAATTTTGGGTGTCCATTCCTCTCTTGAGCTCGCACCTGCAAAAAATAATAATAAAATATTCCAGATAAAATAAAATGGTAAAATACCCCTAAAAGTTTCAGGGGTATTTTGGTCATTTTATTTTATTGAGAATATTTTTTAATATTGTTTTTAGGTGTGCCCCATTGAGATCATGTCACGTACCAAATTTCATATCCATATGATTTGTATAGAAAGAAAACAATGAAATACTCTGAGACATGATCTAGATCAAACGGCTAGTGGCTGTCCTAAATTGGACAGCTGGAATTTTTTTGCGCTGGTGAGGGGAGAGGAAGTACTTAACTTATATACAGTAGGGGAAGTCTAGAATGCTTTCCCAAATATAATAATCATGGATACTGTAGAAAAACTCTAGCTGCTATTCATATAATGATCAGCGATTACGTGGATCTTCAACGAAAATCTGAACTAGTCATCATGAAGACTAGCTAACAGATGGCTTTAGTCATCTACATTTGTAATCAGATAATTATTGTATTAATGTTTACATGTAAGGCCACAAAAAAGTAGTTCAAAAGTTTGTTCATCCTTATTTCCGTGGCTAAGTTAAATGCTATGTCTATTGATCAGTTACAAAGTGTAAGAACATTCTATGTGTACCAAGTGCATTGACCCCCCTTTTACCAAGGCCGCCAGCAATGGGAGGAAAGACAATTCCAGCACAACGAATTTGGTAGAAACTGAAAACCTAGATATTTCGGTTGTCCAAAGGCTTGCTGCCAAATTCCGTTAGCCTAGGAAGTTCTCAGTGATCATCTCATGTTGCAAAGTTCAAGGCACCATCAATCATTCCATATCAGAAAGGTTTCTTGCTTCAGCCTAGGTACCTCGCAATGGTTATCTTACATTCTAAGCTTTGTGCACACCATGCATCAAAAGTTTTAAGGCATAATATAAGTTACAACAGGACTCCCCCATGTTTCTCTGAATAAAAACTCTAAAAAGGATAATCCTAATTATATTTTTGAGAGAAGTTTGACTTGAAATCCTATTTGATGGAAACTCCAACAGTTACCCATGTTGGGAATTTAATCATATTGTTTGAAGCCCTCGACCTTTTCTTACTATAAGGGTGCCCGAAAATTTTGGCATAACTCCTTTAGTCATTTAGATAGAGGCATCTCTATCAAGGCCTTGGCATCTCTCTGTTGTTGGACTTCTTGTTCTTAGGAAGGTCTGATGAAGAGATAGACAAGGTAGAAAAAATGGAGATATGGACGAAGG